CTACCACCGTCCGTGATTTCACGTTTTCGTCGACGAGAAAATGCGCTCTCTGTCACTCACTGCAGTGAGTACTGAGATATATTTTTTTTTCCTTCGGAGTCAGGGGGGTAATCTACACTTCGTCCCAAACGTTGCCCTCCTTTTAACGTATGTCGTTTTGTGCAGAGGTGACATACTCGTGCCTGGGTACGTGGCACGTGGGTACGATGCTGTACGTCGCTGTAGCAAACCTACAGCACGCTGATGAAGAGGAGAGATACAGGTAACATGTCAACAGTAACGTATGATACGTGGAGTATGTTTCGTTTGATGAAACGTTCTCAACAGAGTTGGGTGTAAGTCAGGTACAAGTGACCTACAGTTTATGATACAGAATTATGTATCAACTAAATTTTAAAAAAATTCCGTTACATATGTAAGAATTATGTTTTAACCTTGCCGTGTGAAAGTTTATTTATTGTATTAAGTATAAAAAATAACAATCTACATGAAAACGTTATGAAGATCATCGCAATCATTAGGTCCCTGAAAAGTTTCGGAGGTCATGTCAATCATTAGGCCTACAAAACGTTTTCATGAAGATACGGTGACTTTTCATGACGTTTTATTTGCTTTTAAATTCGACTTAAACTTGCCCTTCAAAAGACTAATAATATGCATGAGTACTTAATTGCAATGTTATGGCATGTGCACTGAGATACAATGCTACAAATATCATTCAACATAAAAAATGTATTGTACGCTATAAATACATACCAATTTCATTCGCTAGTGGAAATGTTGAAATTTCGGTTAAATAAAAAAACCATTGAAATTTAATAACCTGTTATTTTATGCATTGAATAACATGCGAAATTTAAGCATGAATTGCGCGCTAATTTCAAGCATGGAATGTCATGCAAAATTTATACATTGCATAAAAAAATGACAGGTGCTTCATGCAAGACCTGCAGGAGACGCAACTGGTGATCGGGGCGTCAAAGAACCCTGGCTGTGCAACCCTGTCCTCCCCAGACTCTAGCCCCCTGCTGATGAACCTAACCCCAGGTAGCCCCCTGCTGATGAACCTAACCCCAGGTACCCCCCTGCTGATGAACCTAACCCCAGGTAGCCCCTTGCTGAAGAACCGAACCCCAGGTAGCCCCTTGCTGATGAACCTAACTCCAGGTAGCCCCTTACTGATGAACCTAACCCCAGGTAGCCCCTGCTGATGAACCTAACCCCAGGTAGCCCCTGCTGATGAACNTGCGCGCTAATTTCAAGCATGGAATCGCATGCGAAATTTATACATTGCATAAAAATGACAGGTGCTTCATGCAAGACCTGCAGGAGACGCAACTGGTGATAGGGGCGTCGAAGAACCCTGGCTGCGCAACCCTGTCCTCCCCAGACTCTAGCCCCTTGCTGATGAACCTAACCCCAGGTAGCCCCCTGCTGATGAACCTAACCCCAGGTAGACCCCTGCTGATGAACCTAACCCCAGGTAGCCTCTGCTGATGAACCTAACCCCAGGTAGACCCTGCTGTTAGACCCCAGGTATCTCATGGACACTAAATCCAGGCTCCTCAATTAAACCCTAATCTTTTCCAATTCAAGGTTGACCCTATTAAACCCTATTCTTTTCCAATACCCATCCTGCTCGACAATGGGCACCTCAGTACCCATCCTCCCAACCCTGAGTACCCAAACCCTTATCCCTCTAAAACAAGTGCGCGCTTTTTGTAGGTATCAAAATGAGAACAAAGTAGATGACTTTGAATTACCAGGAGCGAAAGAAACACTTCACTGGAGTGGACATGTTCAATATTTACGTTCCATGTNAAACACTTCACTGGGGTGGAGATGTTCAATATTTACGTTCCATGTCATATGCGCATTGGTACTGCATATTCATTGGTAATTTCTATATCAATAACTGACATTTCTCTTCATAGATTAATCGTATTTCTCTAATATCTCGTGATATGCCATTTACCTGCTGCGGCGACAACCGATTTCGTATGTTAATACCGAATCTTCATTTAATTAATAAGTAATGATGTCGATATAATAGGTATTATTTAGAACTAAAGTTAGGGACCAAATATTTATTTAATCAAAAAGTAATGATATTGATCTTATAAATGATAGTTAGAACTAAAGTTAGGGTTTTTTCCTGAAGTGGTACCTAGCGTGGCAGCGACGTGTACCTTCCCTGGCGAGTACCAGGGTTCGTGGCAGGGTACTGGACGCGGTGAACCAAGGGTTCACATCAACTCCACACACATGGTTCTCGCTCAGTACCGCGGTGCCAGGGAGGTTCGCGTGGTTCACGTCTGTTTAGAGAACCGAGGCAAGAGGTTCTTGCTGGCTGCCGTGCCTGACAACGGGTGGTGAGTGGTTCTGGTGGTCAGGGGTTCGTGAGTGGTTCTGGGGTCAGGGGTTCGTGAGTGGTTCTGTGGTCAGGGGTTCGTGAGTGGTTCGGGGTCTGGGGTTCGTGAGTAAACCGGTGTTGAGGAACCATTATTGTGGTTCAATTGTTCTAACGCTTCTTTTCTGTAGGTCTTCTGTAGTTTATCTATGGATATCTCTTATCGAATATGGTGTATGGTATCGAATATGGTCTCTTGACGATAATATTGCTGCAATTAATAAACTAAATATTTTGTGTGTGTGTTAAAAAAAGCGAACAGTTTGTATTATTTTCATTTTTATATCCAGGTAAATGATGATCATTATCATTTAGTCACAGATATAAATATCATTTATTACCTTGAATATTGTTTTACTGAATATCGTTGTACTATAACACTTATCCTCACTACAGCGATGTAGAGTACGTATGTTACGAGATGTTGTACTGCCACCATAACACTTATCCTCACTACAGCGATGTAGAGTACGTATGTTACGAGATGTTACCGCGGCAACACAACATCGTACGATATCGCTCTGGCCGCCACATCAGCCGCGCGTCCTTTGAGGGCTGCGATCACCGCGCGTTTGGCAGCGGTGCGCGCTGGGCGTACGACACTCTTATTGGTACGTAGGATAAGTGAGCAACCGCGACGCCCGTGCTTTTAGATACGTGCCATGACATACGTGCCCTGCTACATGGTTGAACTATATAAAGTTGACCCACGAGGATTTCCGCCTTTCAGTTCAGCTTTCTTGTTACGTCACTGAGATCGAGAAACGTAAACAATCCCGTTATTCCCATGACGGATTGGTTGACTGGTTTGATAGCTTTTCGGTGATTGGTCAATGCTTGTGACGTCACTGAGATCAGTTACATTACAGGCGAACAACGAACTACATCCGTAAAAATGAACTTCTGATGGGTCAACCTTATACTAGTTCAACCAGGCCCTGCTATACGTGCTATGGAAAGATTTAAATGAAATGTGTATCATGTTTAGCCAAATATATCACCCCCAAATTTGTGTGCGAAGAGCTCGCTTATGGTGATCTAAATAAGAGCATTTCGAACGAAATTGAAAAAGTTGATGCTGAAATAAAAGTTTCGCTGCTGAAGTAAATTAGTTGCTGAAGTTTACAGTGAAGTCCTGCATTACAGCCGACCCCCCGACCTCCGTCCCATGCCCAATCAAAGGCCGGTTCACCGTCTCCCAGAGGGGGTCGATGCCCCTCACCCCCCGCGTGGTGGGGGGCGTGACGGTCTCCCCCATGGACACGTACCCCTGCAGGAGGAGGTACCCCGTGCTGAGTGTGTGTGAGGGGCGTGGGTACACCACCAGTACCTTGGTACTTGATCTCGACGCCTGCGCAGACCTCGACCCCTACGGCAACCCTGTCGTTGTTAAAGGTGAATAATAATTAGTAAATAATACGCTTCCTTCACTAGCTAATAGCTAAAATATCACTAATTTCTCTTCTATATTGTGTAATTCATGAATAATAAATAATTAGTGAATGATATGATTTTTTCGCTAGATAATAGCCAATATATCAATAATTTTTCCTCTATATTTTGTAATTATTGTTTCTATTTCATAAAATTACCAACTATGGTTTTTACCACAAAATATCACTACTCTCTTGCCACAATTTCGGAGTAATAAAGTTCCAATTAAATTCCCGATTGTTAAATGCATCCAGTCTCTATTGATGATTCAAAATGTTACTTCATTCTTGATTGGTGTTAATTGCGATCTACATTAACATGGTAATTTAATATTAAGGTAAATTTTATCAAGTTACTCGATCTGATAATAATACATTCATGCCTAATGCAAAGCTTTTCTACTGAGCGATGTTGGCTGTCTCACGTCTAGCTATGCAACATCTATGCATGCCTATTTCACCTCAAGCTATGCAACATCTATGCATGCCTATTTCACCTCAAGCTATGCAACATCTATGCATGCCTGTCTCACGTCTAGTTATGCAACATCTATGCATGCCTGTCTCACGTCTAGCTATGCAACATCCATGCATCCCTGTCTCACATCATGATACGTCACATCCCTATATCAAAATTTTTAGTTGGTGGCGACCCTGAATTAGGAACCACCTAGGACTCGGACCGAACGTAAATCGGCTTCTCTATGTCTGCTTTTTGGTTTACATTCCGGTCACCGAATCAGACAGCTACCAGAGTCTGCTGAGGGGACTGAGGGGATTCTGCCAAGTCTTACCCTACTCTCAGGAGACCATAAAGTCGGCCAGAAGGTTCTGACTAGTCGCTGATTGCGATCAGTTGGCCAACTGACCCAGAATAACTCTAACGTGAACATAGCAACTCTGCGGGCANGTCACGCTGATGCGCCGCCTTCGTCGTCCTCCGTCTCCGAGTCGTCGTCGGATGTAACGTTGGACGTGTTCCGTCTATTTGCCCTCCTTTGGGCCAGCTGATGCAAGATGCTGTTGCTTGTCACTTGCTGAGGGTAGTTTCCCATTACTGGACATTCCGGGATCTTTCTCAACCACTTGTCCTGTCGTCTCTTGAATGTTGCATGGGTGAACTCCCCTCCTCTCAGCGCTTTTGGCAAGGCATTAAAGAGCCTCGGTCCTACAACGGACAGTGATCCCCTCACGGAGAGTCTGTACTCTTGCCGCGGCTCGGTTATTAAATGGGGGGAATCCTTCACATTCTCCCTCCTTTCGTTGTAATGTGTCACTATTCTAGAGGTCTCACTTTCAAAGTTGGGAGCCAGTCCAGTTATCATCCTCCTAGTATACAATATGATGTACCTCGCTCTTCTCCTCTCCAGGGAGTACAGTTCCAGGTGTTTCAGCCTGTCCCAGTAATTTAACTCCAGTTCTCTCATGCCGCTGATCCTGCACGTGAAGGTCCGCTGGACTGACTCCAGTTAACCACATCGCGCCGGCCATTTAGCGGCGCCCAAAGCTGGCAGCAATACTCAAGATTGGGGAGCACGAGGGCTCTGAAGAGTGTAATCATAGGTGCTGCTTCTCTCGTTGCAAATGTCTGCCAGATCCAACCCATCAGTTGTCTGCTTCGACCGACTATTTCCTCGATGTGGTCATCGAATGTGGCTTCAGTACTCATCAACATTCCGAGATCTCGAACACGTTGCTTCTCCTCAATTTACGTACCATCCGATTCCAAGTAGCGATGTGGCATCCCGATCTCTGTGTCGACTCTGTATCTCATTACTTCGAACTTAGTGCCGTTGAATTGCATATTATTCACTAGGGCCCAATGTTAGGCTTAATACAAAAGGCAATTCACACGAACGATTTTATTTCAAAAACGTCGCCGCTCGAAGCAGCTTGGCGCATGTCACAGACGACATTCTCATAGAAAACAACAGCTTGAGCTTGAGAAACGGACGAAAACTAACCCCAACATAACTGTAAAAGAAATGAACGAAACAGTAGAACGCAAGCTATGTCACAGTGATCAATATCCGAACAAAGGTTTCAACAATGGAGCAAAGGTAAACTAACAATGCTTCAAATTGAATCAAACACACACCTTAATAAACAGGTAAATGAATAAAGATAGATGAGATTCTTCCGTGTAGCAGAAGAAGTCGGACCGGCCTCTCGGGAGTTGCAGTTATTCTTAAAATAGATTGCTACCGCTTTAAATCCAGTTAATATGGAGAATAATAACTAGAGCTCAATTATTGCTCAATATAACATTTATCTCGATCACTAAACCAACCTTAAAATATTTGGATACAAGCTGAAATTCTAAGTGGCATTTTAAGTGGCCATATACAGGGAAATTTAGTAGTAGTATATAGGAGAAAGGCAGAATCCGACGCAAACGCAATTACAGTAAAGATTAAGGAAGAACTTCGTCCTTCCTCTCAGTTAAGGAATATTTATTAAATAGTTTCATCGTTATACGAAATTCAAAGGCCACAGGCAAATAGACTAATTTAAGTTGAAGGCAAAGCCCAAGCGCGTTCGGAGTCTAGCCTTCTAAACAAAGAAGTTCGAACATGCAGTTAAATGCAAAAAATAAACCTAACGAAAACTAAGAGTGATCACTCAAACGAAAAATAAGATATTAGCAAGGAATGGCTTAATAAATCATGAACTCCTGACGGAACAACACTGCAGTGGTCGTCACTGGCTCAAGTTGGAATGTTGTTGTTGTTGTTTTGTCTGCTTCTTGAGGAAGTGGAGTCGTCCTCCATACACCTCACGGCTCAAAAGGCTCCCCCGTCTGNAAGGGGAGAAGTGTATAGAGCAATCAATCCAAGGTGGCATGGGTGACAGCAAGTCTGCTTCACAGCCCCTAAATGACAAATTTAAATCACCAAGAGTCTTCCTTGCTCGGAGCACAAAATGTGGAACAAAAATTGTACCTGCCCAAGGCCGGTCTGTCAATGCTGTTGGATCAAAAAGGTTACTATATGTTGGCATACAGTGAGGCAGCTCTTGGAGGCGGCAGAGGTATCGCAGCTGCACTAGCTGGCGGTGAAACCTCAGAGGGGGTACATCACTTTCCACCTCCAGAGAAATTATAGGGGAGGTCTTCCTTGCCCCAACGGCTAACCTGATACATCTGTTCTGAATTTTGTTTAGTTTCTCTAGATAGCTATTTGCCGCTGTCTCATAAAATCAAGTTGGAATGTTCACTATTTACAGGTCCCTTCCTATCTTAAGACTAAGAAAAAGAATCGTCAACTTGGACGATTCAAGAAATACGGAATTTTCTAACACCAAGCGTAGATTGTCGACAAGTCATCCTGTAACCTCTTGCAGTCTAGGTTCTATGAGATCCTCATCAGCACTCTTGTATCGTCCGCAAATGACGAAGTAGATGCCAGGGTAAGCTCCGAGTCGATATCGGCGACGTGGATGAGGAAGAGGATCGGTCCAAGCACCGAGCCTTGTGGCACTTCGCTTTCCACCCTCGCTTCTCTCGATTTCGAGTTCCCAATTTCGACAGTTTGTACTCTATTGTAAGGAAGTTGTGGATCCACCCTAACAGGTTTCCTCCTACCTCCAACAGCCTCAGCTTTTTGAAGAGCACCCTATGGTCAACTATGTCAAAAGCTTTAGCAAAGTTCAGGTAGACTATATACATACGTCCACGCCAGCTCCCTCCTCCAGCAAGGCAACAAGGCAGTGATGGCCGGTGATCCAATAACGGTGAAAAACAGGAACGATTTCGCCTGAAACCATATTGTCCAATATTATACAGGCCAGCCTCTTCCATTTACTGGACAACCCTCCTGATCACTACCATTAAAAAACCTTGATGACCTGTGAGGTCAAGATCACCCCTGGGGCCTCCCTAACCCCAAGGTCACTCCCTCGGGTCTTGAGGTCTGTCCCTCGAGCCTCCTTTGTGGATTGGAGTTATCAGTCCCACTTTGAGGCCCTCTGGGATAATTCCCTCCGTCATCGAGGATTTCCAGAGCATTGTGAGCAGAGCCTTCAGGGCTCCAACACACACCGCCGGAGTTCCATCCGGTCCTGGTGCTGAAAATGTCGCCAGATCTTTGATACTTATTTCCATATCTTCCGGTTCAAACTCGCTGTTGGGTGAGTGCAGTGCACCGATGTTGTGTGAGTACTAAGCTTTAAAAAGGTCTTCTCACGGTAGCGTACGTCGTGTAACGGATATCGTCCATAGAAAATACAGATCTCAGCATCGATAATATACGCCGGAATGGGCACCTCCATCGACTTGCTATTGTATCGCGTATAGGAGAATTTCGCTGTACCTGGAAAAAGTTCATGCATGCCAGTGATAAATGTGAGGTTCGGCGGTGTTGGGTTATTACAGTTAACTATTAACTATTACCAGTAACTACCTTTATTATTCACGTTCCTCATGATTATTCATTCACCCGAGAAACCGAAAGTTTGCTTAACTTTGAATACCGTATGAGTTGAGAAAACGTAAATAACTTGCATGGGCTATCACGCCATTTAAAATTCCTGACCCGTAGTGCTATCCATTGCTTAATACTCGCATTTTGCAGTCCCATTTTCATTTAAAGTTTGGTGGTGGGGCGACTATAAAAGCTTTGTTACGCCATATCTTCATTAGATCTTAAAATAAACTTCTTTATATGTTGTTTCAATCCGTTTAAATTAATTGATTTCCTTGTAGGAAATTAATCAGTCAGTATGATTTCAAAATGCTAACAAGAAGCCACGCAAAAATTCGGAATTCGTTTAACATAATAAATATATAAATCAGATTTTATTGCAGCCGCTCCTTTTGTAACTAGACAAATAAACATATTCGAAATTGCAATCAAAGAATTTTTATTGCGTGAGTGGAGTTTCAGATGCCGCTTCATTGCAATCGTGCTGCAAACTTGCGTGTGAGTGGAGGGAGGCTAATGATTTGACACGTTCCAGTCACTAAAATTGTCGTGCAAATTTTCCTGATGCAGCAAATTTAATTTTCAAGTTTACCATGATGCATTCCAGTGATTATTTCCTCATAGATGTCCTCGGGCGCTGTAGAAGTTGTTCAAATAATGCTAGCATTTACAATGTAAATTTAATTTATGCCTTTGCATTTTATGAATATACATTTCACCTATTTACATTATAAAGCTTGCCTAATTAATGCTTACATTTTCCGTTGTTTTACTGTACATTGGTACGTAGGGCTACCAGCGCGTATCACTGTACATTGGTGCGCAGGTCAACCAGCGCGTATCACTGTACATTAGTGCGCAGGTCTACCAGCGCGTTTCACTGTACATTGGTGCGCAGGTCTACCAGCGCGTATCACAGTACATTGGTGCGCAGGTCTACCAGCGCGTTTCACTGTACATTGGTGCGCAGGTCTACCAGCGCGTATTGGTGCGCAGGTCTACCAGCGCGTTTCACTGTACATTGGTGCGCAGGTCTATACCAGCGCGTTTCACTGTACATTGGTGCGCAGGTCTACCAGCGCATTTCACTGTACATTGGTGCGCAGGTCTACCAGCGCGTATCACAGACAGAGGTACGCATGTCAGCGTCCGTGGGTTCAGCGTGTGGTGCACTTCAGACTCACGAGTCGAGCTGGTACAACTTGTCTGCTCAGCTGTCGCTCACGCTCACGCTCACTGAGCGCCTGCGTGAGTAGTGCTATGAATAGTTATGAGCACCAAAGCTTGAGAGATTAAACTCAAAAGATGTTCTCAATAAAACTGGCATTATTTTTAACCAAACATGAATAGTTATGAGTAAATCATGTAATATTATATTAATTCATACTGTAAATAGTTCAAGATAGCATTAACAAGTAGATAATTAATTAATATGTGTGCTCACGCTCACTGAGCACCCGCGTGAGTATTGATAATGATAGTAATAAACAAATAGTAAAATGAATATATTATTTCATACATGAAATTCATACAAATAACAGTTACTAGATTGGTAATTAATAGTCTGCTCAGGTTGCACCACGCTCACGCTCAGTAATCGCTCACTTGAGTAGGAATATCTATAGTAGTAATAAAGACCAGGTGTTAGATCATTAATGATTAGCAGTTAATTGCTAATAATTAATTACCATTTCATCTATGTCAATCTCACCATGATAGTTGTGATGATAAATGTGATTATGTTGTAAAATTTTCCTTTTTTGCTGACATGCCAACAGACGTTGGGAAATAGATTGCATGCATTTATGTGTCTTCTGAACAAATGATTTGCCTAGCATGATACTGATAGTGATGATATTTATTCATAGTGACAGCAAAGCCATTACAAAAGACATAAAGCATAGATTATATATTATTGTATTGTATCCATGCAGACCGGGTGGATGATAGCCTCGCTCCACAAAATAAGATGGGTCTCTTATCTTCCTCAGTGACAGAGCAGAGGAGCTTTTGTAGGGCTAGCCTAGGCCTTCTGATCATGAAAATATGTAACCTGCTCTAATAAACTGCCTATACTCTGGACCAGCTGTCTCACATGTCCTGCTGTTTGCTAACATTTCGGCGTCTCGATGATGTAGGAAATTTGCGTATTATTTCTGAATCAATGATTATAATCAACTGCGTTGTTAGGGTGGGATTAGCTATTGTTACTCTAATATTTCAGCTGATTGTAGCGCCAGCACAGTTTGTTGTTTGTTTAATTGACTTTGATCTTCGTTGTTCTGGATTATTGAATTGTTCCCCGTCATTATATATGGTTTCCCCCTCTAGCTTCTAAGTCATTTCTTGAGGTACATTCTGATTTCATTAGTAGTATAGTATCTTCGGCATTAAATAAATAGGCCTGGATAGGCCTGTCGCCGATTCTTGTACATTTCTTGAATTCTTGATTAAGAAGCCTTACTAAATAAGTCTCCGTCTAGCGGATCGTTATAGCTAATTGAATGAGCAAAATTATCTGCAGATGATCAATGCCCAATGGAAGTGGACGTGGGAGAAGATCACCGAAGATCTGACCCGAGATCGAGATCCTTGCCCGTCGTATTTGAGTTCTTCAGCAGCGAGGCCCGCCCTCGGGCCTCACTGGTGTCCTATTTCCTAGTCAACCTTGTAATATTATTTGTCGTTATTGTAATAACTCATTATCATGGTTAATGAGTATGTAATTGTATGGATATTTCTCTAAATTTGTATTAGGTATTATATGACTCAATTTATGTTATTTATGCTGCTTCATATGCGTGTTAATTTATTATTTGTATTTGTCCTTATTCGTATACGGTATGTCCTTACTTATTATTCTTTGATGCCAAGTATTTCTTTAATTAAACTTATATATTTTAAAGTTTGTGTTTGTCTCACGTATCTATGACGCAACGATTTCCTAATAAATTTAGAGGCAAATTCATGTGTCTATTTATTTAACAATCAAGTTGATTAATTTGAATGGCTCTGTTGATGATATGCTGAACAATGTTGGGGCCATGGACCGAACATTGATTTACTGTTGATTATATTTTTTTTCAATTTCTGAAGCGGATGGCATTCTACAATTGGGACAATTCATAATCTAATGTAGAAATGCTCAATTAGATATTATAATTTTTATAAGACCAACAATTGAAATACACTTAAAATTATATTCGATCTTCCGGGATTACATGTTAAAGAGTGCGTTGTCACTCACGCATTGGTATTAAATCAACACGGTTTCGACAAGAACGAGTTCCTAAAACGACATAGAGTCCATATAACTAAATTAAGTCAGTTGTAATTTGTATTGTTGCTAAACAAACTTCAGAATTCTTATTACGATATTTTAAAAATAACGTTATTTATTAATCGCGTAGCAAGTTTCAGCTTTGAGTGATGCAATGATATTTAAATATATATTTTCGCTATGAATAAACAGTTGAAATGCAACTATTTGACTACTGACCATTCGGAACCATTAGGCATGATCGCATCAAGTTCAGCCTAATATTGCTCCATGCCGCAGCCCGCATTTGAATAATGAATATGGTAGTTCGTATCTGAGTTCCGCGATTTAACGTTTCCCGTGTTACGTGTAGAAGTAATGGCTGACGAAGAATACGAAGCTGATGAGTAAGTATTCGCTAATCGCTTTAATAAAAATTTTCCACTTGAGTGAGAAATAATGTAGAGTTGGAGACTTTGAGTTACTTAGGTATTTAGAAATTTTAGTATACAATCAATGTGCGGTGCACCGGGACCCTGCAGCGGTGACGTTTGAGTCACGTTTGCCTAGACGTTTGAGTCAAAACTGGAATCAGATTATCAGTCTAGCATATTCACAGTCATCTAAACTCAAATTCAATCGCCATGAATACACAAAATTCAATATACTGTTAATCATGGACTTTTTTTGGATGCAATGTTAACTATTTAGTACTAACACAGTCTACCTAACCCCCTGACTGCCCGAGTAGGCTAACAGGTATAATCAGTGTGGAATTCTAGAGGGATATTAAATTAACCAGTACACATAGCATATTGGAAAGCAGGACCTGAAAGGTTGGAAAGTCCAGGAACTTTCCTCTTCCAGTCCATTTTATTAAATAAATTATACATATCCTATCACTTTTCAACTGTGATTGGTTTATGGGATTATGATTTTAGCCCCTTCCAGCTTTCCAGCTGTGATAGGTTAATGAAGTTGTAATGTTATTTGCTTTCTAGCTGTGATTGGTTGCTGGGGATGCTTTCAAGCTGTGATTGGTTGATGGGGATGCTTTCCAGCTGTGATTGGTTGTGCCCATAAGCCCCACCCCCAAATATGGTATATGTACTACAGTACTGGTTAACTAAATACTTAACTTAAACTTGATCATTACAAACAAAAAGCCTGGAAAATTTTTAAAAAATCCATTAAATAAAAGAAATATAGAGAATATCTATCAAACAAGAGACATTCAAACAATTTTATAACAAATCTGAGGTACTATACAACTGACACAGGTTGTCCACTTCTGATCCTCCTTTTCATTTATAGTCAGTCACCTGGCAGAGCACTGTATCTAAGGAAAGCATTCCACCTTGGGTGGAAAGCTTTTTTATAAGTGAACTTTCATTTCTAGAATTCCACCCTGGGTATAATTACTATCTGTGGCCACTTGCCAGAGTGGCCACAGGCCACAGCACTTTCAAATCATTTAGCTATTGATCAGATTGAATCATATACCATTAAGACCAATGTTGAAGTGTAGTTCTATCACAAAAATTATGCTAAAGAGAAGGCAAGCAACAAAATCAATTGCAAATTGAGATACCTAATTTCCAACCTGATGCCGGTGACTTGTGACTTGTGAGTGTAGTACAAACTGGAAAGTAGGGCAGAAGCCACCAACAAATGAGCCATAAGCCCACAACTATGTCTATGACTATGAGACTATGAACATCTGTAAAAAATTTCAGCCATAAACAATGCCTTTACCCAATTTCATCTTGTATAATTAAGTAAAATGGCAATGATGGTGCCATTCTAAATGCCTTCTAAATGACCATTTTCCTTTGGACTTTTGAAGTGTCTTAAGGGGAGCGTCTGGGTCCAAAATCAACAATTTTGGCTTTTCCGGGTTTTAGTCTCAGCTTAAAGCTGACATTCTGACCTATCCAACGGTACCAGAACCATCTCTGTACATTGATTTGTGCGTTCACGACAGATCGCGAAAAAGCAAAGGTTGGTGGAGTTCTTTAACATTTAACATAGGGAGTAAATGCCAAAGTGCATCTTAAATAGCTAGTATTCACACTCTCCAGTCTCCGCTCCAGTTACCCTTCAACAGTCGTGTGGGATGGTTCTTGCTCTGTCGTTCCCACCATCCTTGACAGAGATTTAGCTCCAGTATTGTCTGGTCTTGCATCTTTGCAACCTTGAATGCCAATTTCAAGGCGCCCGGGACTTTGTCGGGCTCTACTGAACAATCACACTTATTGTCACTGGAAAACTATCTCCTACAGTTTTGAAGCTACAGCAATGAGAGATATATCATTCGATTCGCAAATAAAAGATTTAGAGATTGGTCATAGTTTTTTTTAATTTCGTTATAGTTTTTACAATATTTTGAAAAAAGAGGGGGGGGGGAAGGGGGAAATTGAAAAGTTTTTTGGAAATTTTACAAAAAATGCCCCCACGCCCAGAAAAATTTGAATTTCAAGAAAAGCTACGACAAATCGATAGATATGGACCTTACTCATCGAATGATATGCATCTCGATGTTGTAGCTTGAAAATCCTAGGAGGAGATAGTTTTCTACAGTACCCCTTTTTGGCCGTTTTCTAAGGATTTCACGTTTTCTTTCATTTTTTTTTAATTTACACGAACAAAAAAGTCTTAGAATTATTTTTAACATATGTGTACCAAGTTTTAAAGTAATCCGTCTGCAAATAAAAAAGTTTTTCTAGGACCCAGATGCTCCCCTTGAGTGTGCTGGCCAAAATTGGAGCGCACGCTCTGGAAAAGGAGTGGACGCCAACACCCTGCCAGGGTGTCGGCGTCCACTTGCAGTTTAGCAGGGTGACCCTGGTAAACTGCAATAGACAATTATAGAGTGCCTCAGCACCAAAATCACTGTCATTTCCTCCAAATTTACCAGTCTTGCACTTGCTTTAAATTGCACCCACAGTGACCTGCCTCCTTGGCTTGGCCCATTGGCCCCCCTCATCCTTGAGCATGGAACTCTCCAGTCCAGTGGTTGTGTTGTGTGGACCTGACCTGAGTCACCTAAGTGACTCCAGATCCTGAAATTCCACCACGATGGCAATAATATGCAATTTTTGGACAACATATTACATATGTAATGCTAGATAACCCATTCAAGTTATTCTATTATGATATTTTATAAGTTTAAAACCTTCACCCTGCAACAGAAGTTAGACAGGCAGGCAAGCAAAAATCACACATCTAACACCTTTCCTGTTCAATCTTGTTCATTTTACTATGTCTGTGTAAGAATTATCAATATAAAGTTCATTATGGTTGTTACAGGTTGTAATTACCATACCAGTCAGCTGATATACTAAGATCCTAATAACATTAGTGTTCAGTGAGTTGCATGAGAGATACTTTGAATCTTAACAGCATTGAAATCCATGCAGAATAGGAAATTTTTAATATTTTTTAGTCTAAAATTTATGCTTCTAAGGATTTGAAATCATTGAGGCCTTTAGTTGTCAAATTCAAAATTCTTGACTCAATTGACTGAGCGAGGCTAGCTGCCGCAGCTGCTGGCGCAGCTTGCTGGCGACACAAGGCTATCTTTTATTTGTGTGCAGCTATCTTTTATTTGTGAAGGTGCTAGTGTTTTATGTGGCAGTTTGTAAATAGGCATTGACTGACTCAACATGTCATAAGACAGTGTTTTTTCATATTACCTATAGAATTGCACTATGGCTGTGATCATGGTTGATCTTTTACAGAAAACCTTTCATGCTCATATTGTTCCTTATACATAATAATATTATTCAATTTATGATTTTCAGTGTTGGAGATGACTTTGAAGAAGTGGAAGAAGATGAAAACCTAGAAGATCTTCAAGATGGGGAGGTAAGCTAGTGATATATTTAGGATTTGCAAGTGCATTAGTTATTTAAATGTACTATTTTACATCTTGATTTCAACATGTGTGTGAAAAATTTCCTGCCACATTATCTTATGATGAAAACCATGAGGCATTTTAATTATGAGCTTATATTTTCTGTGTATTGCTTCTAAATATTCATGGTGAAGTATGACAATTAGAATAGATTTGTTTCATTAATGTAAATATGTATTTAGAAGCAAGGCTGTTTGGATGGATAATTGTCACATTTTAGGAGGCTTAACAATGCTTGCAACTCTAACTCTGTACTGCAGGAGGAGGAGCATGCTGGTGGCATCGACATCTTGCCTGCAAGTGAGGGGCGAGCTGTGCCTAAAAACAAACGTATCACTACCAGCTACATGACCAAGTGTGTTGCCTGATACATACTCTTGTGATTAGATTTTGTTGTTATCTTGACTCTAATTGTCTCAAAAAATTAACTAAGATATAGCTAGGTATATTGCAATGTGTACCCTTTTCATGTGCATATTGTCTGCGTTTTTCTCCTGCTGATATATATTGTGTAAGCTTGCTCAATATTGTGTAAGTTTGATTTGGCAGTTGATTCTGCGATATTTTTCTCCATTTTAATGAATTTTTGTTTTGTTAAGCCAATATATCTTAATGAATTTCTTACCAAATTAAAAGTGTAAACAGAGTTGATGAGGGAATTTTATGGTTGAGAAATGAATGTTAGGAAATTTATCTGGCAAGTGGATATCTGGCTAAAAAATTTGACTCCTACCTTTTTTCTATGGGTGCTCATTAGGCTCTGACAACTGCAAAATGATGGCTTATGACTACTGCTCTGTGATGGCTCATGGCTACTGCTCTGTGATGGCTCATGACTACTGCTCTGTGATGGCTATTATCTATTATCTCTTCAATTGCAGGTACGAGCGGGCGCGCGTGCTGGGCACCAGGGCGCTGCAGATCGCCATGTGCGCCCCTGTGATGGTGGAGCTCGAGAGCGAGAGCGATCCTCTGCAGGTATAATAGTGCCACTAACTCTTTCATGTTCTTCTTCTGCAGGTATCACAATGCAACATACTTCTTGATTAATCACTATTCAGGCTTGACAATGACAGACTTGACCTTTAGTTGATTAATCCAAGTTTGCGGTCACGAAGCCGTTCAATCTCACGTTCATAAATACAGGGTGTTTCAGAATTAAGTAACCCTATTAATTTGATAAATAACAAACTAAGAACGTTATGAAGTTGAAACTTGTTTTATTTAAAAGAAGAACATTTTCATGGTAATATTGTATCATAGTTACGTCATTATCCTGTATATTTCTTTTAAATAAAACAAGTTTCAACTTCATAACGTTCTTAGTTTTTTATTTATTAACAAATTAAAAGGGTTACTTAATTCTGAAACACCCTGTATATTCAACTTTTCATAGAACCCATGGAGCACATTCATCTATGTTTACTTTCTATCCGCCATTTAAGATATTAAAAGTCATAAGGTTTAAACTTAACCTAGAATGGGTTCGTGTTTTGTATCGATACTTCGAGACGCAGCATAATCCATTCAGATGCTCACTGCCCTGATTATTTTTTCGGTGCGAGATAATGCCAATAGGAATAGTGATCAGCAGTGAAATTTTTAATTGCAGTCACTTGAACACCTGCATTGAATTTACTTTGTAAGTCGTGTATTATTAAGTGAAGTTCTTCTCGTGTTCAATTGTTGATGAACGTTTTTATTCAGATAGCTGCCAAGGAGCTGCGAGAACAGAAGATTCCTCTGATCATCAGACGTTACCTGCCCGACGGCTCCTATGAGGATTGGAAGATCGATGAACTCATCATGTCTGATTTTTAAGTTATATGACGTTTCTTATGTCTTCATTTTATGTCTTCTAAGTTGAGCTCATTTTATTTCACCGAGTATTCATTCTATCATCTCATGCATTTGTCAAGAATGAATTGGCTGTTTGTAATCCACCAGTATCATCCCTAATTTTAGGACTATTGTGATGTAGCAGTATACAATATCTACGTCGAATGTGTTTATCCTAACCCCGTTTCATTCCACTATCGGCCCGCGCTATTTCTCCCGACCAGAATTGTTGGCGCATCGCTCATGTGAAACAGAGAACTGTTTTTATCAGTCAGCTGTATAGGACGCGGCCACGATAAATGCGTTATAATCCTTTATTTCGGCCGCATCAGTGAATATGATCATCAGGAAGGATTCAGCAGACTCATAGGAAATATATTCAATTTGGATTAATCATCGCCGCTGTAGGCGTGTAAATAACTCGATAGGTACATGATTTGATATGAACGCGCGTATAACGTTTACATAGGTTCATTAATACCATCGATCTGCAATCGTATGTGTCACATTCACTCAACCTGTCGCATCTTGAATGGTTGATCATGTAACTAATTTTTTTAATCGGATTTATAAGCCTTAATTTACAATTCAAGTTGGGCTTTGAAGAATGGGACTGATACTCCAGAGTTTTCATGTTTATTGGAGAAATTTCAATACATTGATTGAGCAATGTCTAAAGCTAAGCGACAATCGTCTCTCATGCACTTGGCAGGAGTTCGCACGGTTCGCTCACTTCAACACGTTCATAGATCTGACTTGGTCGCAAGCAAAATACATAACGACCGTAGTCAGAAATGGACTGCGATTGTCATTCCATCAAGACATAAATTCATACTAGTTAGTATTTAAATAATTTAACTCGTGTCGATAATGCCCCATTTACTAGACGATCAAATGAGATTAAAGATTATTGTTGACACAAGAAACCGCGAATATTAGAGACGTTCCGAGGCGAACGCTTTATTGGCAAGTCACTACCATAATGCATTCTCCAGAAAACACCACACAACAAACCGGATCTTTCACTTATGAAAAGAAATTCGACGAAGAACATATCAAGATTGTCTTTAATAAATTGGTAACTGAATGTACGCACTATCTACTATATTAACAAATGCTATTCGAATAAGTGCCCTGAACATTATTTACAACACCTCGATTAACAGGACAAAAAATCTTGTTAATGAGTATCATCCAAAAGTTGGGAAAACCATAAAGTAAACAAAAATTTTCCATCAGCTGATCAACTTCATGGTGCACTGAATTCTATCAATGGCTGGCTGAAAGGCTAAACTTTTGGAGGCTCTCGTCCTCTAACGCACCCACTCATTCTTTATGCAAACGATCATTCCACAAAGGAAATAAGCATAGTTTAGATCCACATTAAAAATATTTCATCAAAGAGAAATATTGGAATTAAAAGGGGAATTGTAGGGTGAGAGTGTGCGTATGCAAAATACATGGCGATATCAATTTAAATTAACTATCAAGGAGCAAAAAAGATTAGAAGCGGGGCATACAAAATGCTACGCAAAATTGAAGTGCACAATTTTGAATTGCAGCAAAATCTAAATAGTCCTCAGCAGCAGCTGGCAGAAACAACAGAAAAAAAACTATCAAAAGTTGCCAAGAAGAAGAAAGTTGCATCAACCGCCTAAAGTTCGATTCAAGCAAATGCAGATAAACTCGGGAATATTTCAACTCAGAGCCTGCACGGGAGTTAATTTATATAAAGCCATTGTCCACATAGTTGGTCATACATGAATTAACCAACAGTTTTGTGCTGATTAAAAATCAGCCTCTTATTTCTCATGTATAATCGAGATTAAATCTACGAAATAGAAAATACAATTGAAACGCTCCATCGAGAGCATGCGAAAGTAAAACGCCTAGCAGCAATATAAGCGACCTCACAGACATCGCTCATAATTGGAAGAAATTGTTCAATATTTACAGATGAATAACGCTCGTAGTGTCAGGTTAAGCAATAACCAAAATCAGCAACAAACAAGCATGAGGTTAACAAGAAGTTGTTAAAGGAAGGCACGAGTAACGGTCATCACAAGGTTTGGAATGTATTATATATACGGAGTTAACACTTATTGTCTAACCTTTAATTGAGAGGTAAACAAACAACAATGGAATGCTCGGAAGATTCGATGCAACAATAAGATGCTAATTTAAAAAACAGTTAATACTATGCTTACAGTATTTAAGGAACGGCTATGGGAAGAGACAAAATAAACGTAAACCATGATGTAAAATTTCTGGGCAAATCGAAATACTGAACAAAATTCTGTACAGAACCGACTTTTAGACAAAAATCCTAAAACTTATAGAGAAACATATTGCAGATGACAGAGGAACGTTGTACAAATTTTTCCGATTAGTAACTCTGAAATGCCTGAGATTCATTGAATGTAGAATTTTTACGCGGCCTAAATCTTGCAATATTTCGCCAAGTAACTAGGAAGGCGGAAAATGTGTGATACAGAGTCAAGTTCTATGGATGAACTTGCTTCTTACTTTGTGACGGAGTAACCTAAGGCGCGGAATATTGCACACAACGAGCACGCGAGGGGGCGAGAGACAACCGAGGCTGCCTCGGTTCCCGACCCAAGAAACTCTTACGTTTAACTGTGATGTCTTCGCATGTTGCTGTTCTAGAAACTTAATCTGATTGTAAATAACAAAAATACAAATACACAAGTGGTTTGTAAGCAGGTGCATATCGAGTGTAAGAGTGAACGTCCTGGACCTAACACACGCTTTTGAGGACGTACAAATGTGAAATTTACTTCAAATGCAAAATCATAATGACCACAAATTAAAACTAGGAACTTAAAAAATACGGATAAGTACCCACGTTAAATTAAGTACAAAGAAAATCATAAGGGTAAGATGCTATGAACATCAATCCCACCAAGAAAACAAGCACGCTCGTGCCTGTCACTAGCATTTCAACAACTAATGCCCACGCTCCTCAATAATTCAGGTAATCCCCATAGAGCTTCTCACGATTAAGGCAATAAACATGCAACCAATAGTCACGGAAATATTAAATAATGCTCGCATTCGAGACGCGCCCATACTGAATTTCCTTCCATAGCCCTGACCTTCAATCGCAAAGCGTCCAAGTTGCAGGCTGAGAAGGGACGGGTTCCCATAAAATAAAAGTTCTTATTGGATAATACAATACAAAATAGAAAGTGGTCACGTTGGGAAATGTGTCATTTAAATGACATTAACTGAAAACATGGACAGCATACCTGAAGTCAACTTTATAATAAATAGCTGTTTAATAATGAAAAACTTCAAATAGTTAGTTATTGTCAATGCAAAATAGGCGATTGAGAACTCACTGCTAATAAGTAGTCGATAAACTAAGAAAGAAAAAGCCATTCACTTTCCCCAGTTAAGATCAGTGAACATCTCACGCTTAGAACACAGCAGGGAGCGTTCGGTTCCGTGAAACAACATAAGAATTCCAACACGAGGAATTTACTCACAACCAAATAACAGTAATTTGACGGGCACTGCATCAAAATAAGTCAACTCTTGTTGACACGGCTTACATAACTACAAGACCTCTATTTATGTTATATACTACATAACCTTCTTCTCGGCAACTAACAACAAGTTTATGGTACTTGCAACTCTGCTTCGTTGTACCGTACAATAATTGAATGGTAATTGAAAACTAACGTCAAGGGACCGAACAAGCTAAAGGTACTTGAGAACAACCTTCTTGATATGCTTCTCAGGGGACGAGAGCGACTTGCGGGTAACATGGGAGTAGACGGGAGTGACGTGCGGGCCTGCGACGTGCAAGTTAGACGGTCCTCCGTTGTTCTGGGATGACGCGGTCGTCGGGGTCGGTGAGGGAGACAGGGCGGGAGGGGAAGTCAGTTCAGGTCCACGTCCGAGTGAAATCCGAGGCAGCTTTGACGTCTTGCGTCGAGCTAAAGCTACCCCGCGTCCTCTTCCCCGGCCTGAGCCCCTTGATGAAGGGCTGGAGTTGGTGCGCAGTTCTTTGACGATGGCGCCATCCTCTTGCGAGGGGAAAGCTGCGCTAGTGGAGGTCGAGAAGGTCGTGTTCGGTAGGTTGGCGGTGAAGACGGAATTCAGAGGCGACACCGAAGCCAGGGTGGAAAAAAGCGTTGTGCTATTCGAGCTGTTGGGAAGCATGATGTTGGCGAAAGAATGTGTGGGGAAAATGGAGCCAGCGAAAGAAGGTGTGCTGAAATGCGGCGGCGTGCCTCTAGACATCGCGAGACTCGTCGGTGACGTTAACGACGGAGGCGAACTGTCGCGAGAGGAAGGTAAGTGGTGCTCATCCTTGGCATGCACATCGCTCGAGGAAGTGGTGTTGAGGTGTGGTGCCACGGCTGAGGCAGTGGCAGCCAAGAGGCTCAGTGCCGTGGACAGGTTGGAGTTCATAGCGCCGCCGATGCTGTTTACCACGCCACTCGAACCTACCATGCGACCAAGCAAGCCTCCGTGGGAATTCATCTCTTCCATACCAGACTCGCTGGTTCGCGGCATGAGAGGATTTTTTCCTCCACGAGAGAAGGAGTCGTTGTTCTGAATGCCCATAACATTAACGCTGGTGGTGGTGCCGTTGGCGAAAGCTCCTGGCCTGGGACCGTTAGACAAAAGAAATTTGCTTTCCTGTGCAACGTTTAGGGCCTCGGACGTTGATGTGTTCAAGGACTTGAGTGATGCCCCAGCTGGAGCTATTTTTGCGTTGCGGCGCAGGGCGGTCTTTTTCTTCAAATGGACGTTGTCTATGTGACCCTTCAGATGCTCCTTTTGTGTGAACCTGTAAAACAAATAACATTGACAGGCCGGTACTGGTGCAATGATAATTTGTTACGTTTCCAGTTTAAAAATGATGAACTCGAGAATTTACGAGAAATCAAGACAAGTGGAGCCAATTCTAAAGACCGTCAAGCACAGTATTTCAGCCATGCCAACAATTGTCACGTTACTCTTAGAAATATCATAGAATAAGATAGCGCCTAACTGTAACAACATGTGCAAGAAAACGCAAAGTACAAGACTGCCGCTAAAGAAGAATGCTGTTTTCAATTGCGGCCATCAAATTCATGTCAGAAAGGTACGGTAATTCAAATTATTCAAAATAATTAATCATGTCATAAAAAACATGGATAATCGCATTTCATTGCAACCATTTTGATAATCAGGAGGCTCAACTTAGAAGCAATTAGTTGTGTGGATGGTATTTCTTCGCTAAAAATTGGTACGGACAATGTAAGTCTTGCTTGAAGATTCATAAATTAACCGAGATAGAACGAGGTAATAAGCTTGCTCATCAAACCGAGCTAAAACTAAAGAATAACTTAGCTAAGTTAACTAACTAACTTAAGTTCTTAACTTAATTAACTAACTAAGCTTAGCCTTACGTATTAAGCTTAGCACCTCTGTTTGATGACGCCGACTTAGTTAGTAACTACCCCTACTTGGCGAGAACGATTAAGCCTGTAACTACTTCTACCGTACTTGACAATTATTATGTAGGTAAACACATACTTGGTCTGGCAAATGGTGCAGATAAAGGGTTTGATGCCGGTGTGGATGCGGAGATGTCGTTCGAGGTGTTCTTTGCGCTTGAACGCTTTGTCGCATGTGGTGCAGAAGTGCTTACGCATCTGCTTGTGCGAATCTTCGATGTGGCGGCGCAACAAATTTGCATTCGCCAACTTTGCTTGGCAGTGCGGGCACTCGAAATTCTGTAAACCACAAGTAAGTGCTGGCTCAAAATTCTTGAAGTCCCGAACTATTGAAAGCTTATCTATTTTGAAACTGGAAGCAGTTGATTCAAAATTTTGTAAGCCGAAGGTTTGTTTAGAATTTTGTAAGCCAGAAGCAGGTTTGAAATTCGGGAAATTAGGAGCTACTGCAAGCTCAGAATTTTGGTAACCAGAAGAAAGCGCCCGGAAAAACTTCTGCAAATCGGAAGCTTGTGTTTGCTCAAAATTCTGATGGGAAGTGGAAAATTATTAGAATCAACAAAAGGCAGCACAAAGGTAACGCAAATAAGAGATGTCTGGACTTCATGACTGGCAATTAATTTCAACGTGATTGCAGTACGAGAAAGTAAAGTATAAGTTATGGAAAAAAGATCTGATCGAAAAAAAAGAAAAACAATAAGATTCAGAAAAGAGCAAACATGCGAGCTTGAACTTTCACCAAAATAGCAAACACTGATCAATTAAAGCATACATTTCAAAAAGAGACTAAGTCGCAGATGGCGCATAACTTCTCATTTTAGATAATGCTACTTCGTTTTATTATCATATATTCTATTCAAAGAAAATGTTTTAATAAATTTATTTATAAGGGAATATGAGGAAGGCCAAACCTGTGCCATATCGACGCCGTCTTCGTTAACGACGAGGACAGGCAGGTCAGCATCGTCGCTCGACACGTCGCCATCGTCGTCAGCCTCGTCGTCCTGCTTGGGCTGGTAGTGCTTCTGCTGCAGATATTCATGGATCTGCAGGAACAATGTTACACCCTTAAACGGGACTCGCCACTCATTCATTAACTCGCATTTTAAAATAATAACGTGGAATAAGATCGTTTAGGAAGTTTATTTAAAATAGGCACTGAAAAAGAATCATAACTGATGAATCTTCCTCAATATTTTCACGTGTTTTGACAAAAATTTAGCTTTCTAGCATGTTGTTTTTCAGTTCAATTATTCAACAGAACACGGAGGCATGCGTCTAATGAGCAATAAATTACTGTTACATATCGATTGATCGATTAAGACGCAGCTACCAAGTGAAATTAAATGAAATATATTGTGAACAAACCGCGTTAAATTAGTAAACCAAAATAAACGTTATCCAATTTTATCAAACTGTGGAGGTGCAGTTGAAACAAACTATACTTGACTACATCATTAAATGAAAGGTGGTGTCATGCTGCGCTACAAATTAGTAGCTATGTATATGAGTGTTAAGCTCTAGGAAATTAAAACATTAGTGCAAAATTCAACGCAGTTAATGGATTCAGGACGGTAGGGAAATGCGCAGTTTGTTAAGGCGACCTTCAAACAGCAGCGATGGTAATAAATTAGTTGAATTAAAACATCGGCAATCGTAGAAGCGGTGAATGTTTTTGAACAAAGCTCGGGTTGAGTTATAAACTTTCAATGTAGTTTTATATTTCCCGTTAGGTTTTTACTAATAAACCTTGGGCAGAGATTGCACCACAATCTCATAGAATCTTTCGCTTTCATATAAGTTCCAAGTTATGAGATGTTATACAGTGCGTTGCATGCGTCATAAAATGCAAACACTCAAGTTTTTTCGTAAATAGGGTGAATATTATATACTCGTACGCTAAAATGTGTTTTAATAGAGTAAGTATTTCGACTGATTTGGAAAAATATTATAATCGAATACTCAATTGGATTCACTTGGTTTCAAATTCAGCGAAAAAAATTTGACAAACGTAATCACAAAAAAAAATAAGACGCCTATACTTCAACGATTTTAAAACATTAATGTTGACACACTAGTTTCTGGTGCCTCCAACCGATAAGATTTTTTTTTCTAGAATACAAAATTTGAGGTCATTCCGCGCGAATAAACAAGACAAACTACGTGATAATTGACGAAACATATCTTCAAGAATTTTCCAAGCAACAAAATTATTATCAAAAGGAAAGTACTACTTTGGACAACATAAGAAACGATGCTTCGCTACCGACAGGCGGGTGCGCAGACTATACTTCAGTAACGGTGCATATTTCAACTAAAATCTAAATGGTATTCGTTAAATGAACAATCATGGAATCTGTTAACTAAAATCTAAATGGTATTCGTTAAATGAACAATCATGGAATCTGTTGTTGTTAGAAATAATATCAAAAAGCGATGTAAAAAATCTAATTTAGTATTGAATCGTCAATAAGGTTTTACAATTGATGAAAAAACATACAAGTTAGAGATGCACAATAACAATGTCATGCCGGGTACACTTTACCTGACTCCGGCACGGCGCTCTTTGGTTTGGCGGACAAATGGGAGAAGAAAGCACAAGTTAGTGACATGTTCATTGCAGCAATAAACCAAACTATGCCCACGAGATATCAATAGGATTATCAACAAGAAGTAACAGCCCTCAAGAGAATACCCTTAAACAGGAAGTTATCATCACAATATTAATTAAGTCAAAATGATTGCTGAACTTTTTGCACACGTTCACTGCTGCACCGATGTAAACAATTCAGAAGACCGAAAAATGTGAATGTTAAAAACATTTATCAAGTTTCGTTAAACGCAAATCAACAAATAAACAGAAAAATTACTTCCAACACAATTTTTTTTGAAATCTCATATAAGATGATTTTATTTATGTAATGACGGGAACTATGATATATTTTGCTACAAATGAAGATCGGGAGCTGGAGGCATAATGTGGCTCGGTACAGAAGTAAAGTGTGCACAAAATTCAGCCCAATATCAACAAGTAATTCCTGAAACCATATAATCCAAAGGCCCATTTGAATAAAAATGAGAAATCACGTCCCAAAGCTGGAAATATAGGCAGGCATTGAAGCGTTGTAACGATATATTGTGAGGAAAAGTGAACAAAATTAAATACTGTTAAGAAGAGATACAATTGCTTAGAAATTGTTTGAAGAGACATTGCAGAGTAAAGGTTTAAATAGCGAACATCAGGAAATAAAAGAATACCTTATGAACTTAAGAGAAAAATAAACCAAACCCATAAAGCAGAAAAGAAAAAAAATATATTTTAAACCAGACTGAGAAATATAAAAAACAAATACAATAATAAGGAGTACAAATGCGGCGTAGGTCTTGACGTTAAACTCTTCACCGCGTCCCGCTAGAAGCGATTGTTTTGCAGAATGTTCGTAAGGAATATTTTATCATCTTTGCTAACTGTACAGAATAACTTACGTACACTAGATAATCAATAGATACTTTAGATATTCGTATGAAAAATTGCCCATCTGATATCGTAGCTTAGGCACCCTTGAAGATATCAAACTCTGTAGCAATAGCTAGGCCAGCGTTTATTTTATGGTCTCAGCTGAACGAAATGTCCTTATCGCCACAGTTCAAACTTATTGCAAAAAAAAGAGGACAAATGAATGAGATCATTTGTAAGAGAAAATATATATTTATACACTATAAGGTTAGGGTCGAAAAAAGTATTACGAGCACTAACGAAAAAGTGCTGGCAACCACGCTAAGATGAAACATCGCGCTGAAACTTTGACAATTTTAATTAATGTGTTCAGTACTTTAGCGTAAAAAATGCCTACAGACTTGAAATTTTACGACATTGTCAATGAGATTAAAAAGTTAGCAAGTGGGTCTATCATTCAGTATATTCATTCGAAGCCCACAACGCCACGAACGTCAATCACACAAAATCTTCAACATCAATCACTCGTTGTTAATACGCACGAATTATGAAACATATTGAACAAAGACATCGACTTGCAGGTAGCAAAAATATATTCATAATTATCACATTCACCGACTTGTAAATAGACTGGTTGGTAAAAAGCAAAAGCTGCGAGAAATTCGACCTCAAGTGAGATGTGAACAGAAGAGATACGAGTTTCCCATCAGCGTGCGCTGTCCGGCCAAAGTACGTGCATTATCCATAATTTCACTTTCTTTAATTATATGTGACAAGGATATGCTGGATACGGCGGATACTGGTGCAGAAAATCGTAGGAGAGTTGCGACGACATGATGGGTTAGGTAAGGCGAGGTTGACGTAAGTTACTGCACTCTCTGCGAGCAGCAACATCGTGAGCTAGATTACATTACATGGCCATCGAATACATCGATAAGTGAATCATGCAAATGCGAGCACAAGTAGAAACTGAGAATGTGAGCAAAATATAAGCGAGAGAAAGCTAACATTTCATAAGGACGCCAATAATTTATGAACTGTTCAGAGTGAATGCCCATCGATTGGGTCTTTGTGTTCCACTAGTGAAATTATAAAAATAGTCTCAAGATAAACTGAGAGAACACGAATTAAGTTACTTATGCGTAATAGTAATGGCAATCACGGCCAGAAAGACAGTTCGTTCATTGAAGATTAAACTGAAAATAAGAAATGATGTTCGCGCAGTTGACAAAGCTTGAGCCTTCCAGCTCATTGAAAACAACATTGAGGGGAAATGAATGAGACCATTCATTTCGACAGTCGACAAAGCTTGAGCGTTTTTGCGATGTGAACCATGGAAAAAGTAGTTGCGATAATCATTTTGATCTCAACGGGCGCTCGCTTGAGAGGCCAAGAAATGGGGCTTTGACTGGACCGTAGCAATACCAACAACATCGCAACCAAATACAGCGAAGCACAGCAGTCGGAATTTTTAACGGCGCACTGACACGGCTCACTCACCGGCGCCCAGCTCACCGACAAATTCGTGAGCTGGGACGCAATGCAATATTCACCCATGCATTCAGCTGCTTCCTGAGAAACCCTCGTGGGAAATGAATTAAATTCATTTGAAAGAGAAACAAGAGCAATGCAGATGATCGAAATAAGGGTTATACTTTCTAGGTTAGTTTACGAGACTCGAGTAACATGATCGTAATCCTACATCGTCAACCAAACTCAGGGAGAATATATTACAAAACATCACCTTAATTCCCAACTAGATGTATTGAAGGTCGATACAGGAGACAAAAGACTATCGAACACAATAAATATATCGGCAGTTACATTGTTAATGGGCTCAAACGTAACCTTACAAGAACTCCTAAACTAAGCCCCCCCCCCCAAAAAACTTGAAGCTCCTAAAACACTGTCGACGAACAAGTTCCAAAACAGTAATCGAAAATAGGAATCAAGTTCCTTTCAGATGTAATTTTAATACTTATTTTTGTAACGCCACAAACACAGCAGCTTGGGACAGGCTAGTCGCATCGTCATCCCGCCTGCGGGTTAAATGTTCTAACAGTTATACATCCATCCACTTATTTCATTTAAGTACGTTTTAACTTCTGTATTTTGAGACAGGGATTGTGCAGGAGCTTACTTTGACGGTACTTAATTGTGTCCCACAAATATTTCCGGGACTTTTTGATAGATTTTATCTTCGCTTTAAATGAATGAGTTTTATTTAATTTTATTTCCGCGTTTTTTTACTTGAATATGTTCAGCATATCAAACAAATACAATTAATTGTGTCAATTTGAACCGGAGATATTCAATTTAAAAGGCGGACATGTTAGTTCTTTTAAATAAAACAAGTTTCAACTTCATAACGTTCTTAGTTTTTTATTTATTAACAAATTAAAAGGGTTACTTAATTCTGAAACACCTTGTACATCCATCCACTTATTTCATTTAAGTACGTTTTAACTTCTGTATTTTGAGACAGGGATTGTGCAGGAGCTTACTTTGACGGTACTTAACATTCGTACCAAGTGAGTGTCGGATAGTGCCATCAGTTGCGGAACTCTGACTACATCACTTGAAATACCA